AGGGTCGCAGGCTGTGACCGAAACTGGTAGAGCCATTTGTTTTTGAATAAAAATACAAATTTTCTGCAAAGAGGAAAAAGCCCTATCCTCAATGATTCCATACATGATTATCTCCTCGAGTGTCAACTTTCTTCAAACAATTTTGAATATTTGTTGCCAATCTTGCTATGAATTTTAAACGTTATAACTTATAACTGTTATATTATTATTTGAAAATAAAAATTAAATTTCTTTTCATTTTTTAAACCTTTGGCACTTACATAAAATATATTAAAATTTGCGATGAATAGTTCCATTTTGATTATTACTTCATTCTACGCAAGTCATGAAAAGGGGAAAAAATTTAATGGGAAAAATGAGCAGAAAGAGTATCACAGAGGTCTAAAAAAAACGCCTGACATCAAAAGAGAGACGCGGCCGCCGCTGTGATTTCTTAGACTTTGGCAAGTTTATAACTATATTCAACAGTGCTAATTATTCACTGTAGATAAAAAACGTACCTAACTTTGGGAAAGTAACTTCTATTGAAATTGCCTGTTTTTTTTATTTTTTATAATCTGTCACAAATCTAGTTTTATTGTTTGGCTTTTTCTGCTACAAAACCAAAAGCCAATCATTTATAGAATGGTATTTACTTAGATCAATTATTAAAAATGACACACCATTTTCCTGACAAAAAAAAATAGTAATAATATTAATAATAATTATATTTGACTGAATTCCCGTGAGTGATGAATTGCGGAGCAACGCAGGGAGCGCGTGTCGTGACCATATAATCAGATGAAATTAAACTCTCGTCGCGATATTTGGCTGAGAAATTGGATCTGCCGTCAGCTAGCTGCGAGAGATACGCCCAAACCTATCGATCAATCTCAACCAACTAGCTCAACGTCGTGAGCGTTGAACTTTTCCGTCCGCCTCCTCACATATCTTTCTTCATTTCAAAGTAGCAAAATTTATGTCCGAACTCTCTAGAGTGAATTTCAATTGGGCGTAATCAGTCGGAAGAAAGTTTCTTCTCGTTTATTGGAAAGATGTGAGTGTGCGATTATTAATGTATGTTGGAACTATTTGATGCAAGTCACTCAAGTGTGACTGAGCTAAGGACCCTAGATTATTATTTGCTCTCTCGCAAGCAGGAGTTCCTGGAAAACACACGTGCGCTTTCAAATACGGTAGCACGAATGCAACAAAAGCCTGATAGTTTACTGAAATTTTCATAGTTAATCGTGGTTAATAGTGTAAAATGACATTATGATTATTATTATTTTATGATTTTGGCCACATTGTTTATAATGGCAAATCCCAAATTAAGATAAGTTTATAATTTGCACAGAGAAAAATCAAATAATTGAAATTTTTAATTATTGTGGAATTTGAAAAGAAATTGAAAAGAAAAAGTAGATGAATATAATTTTCATATATATATATGTTATCTACAATTAATTAATTAAAATATATTTTCTGATACCTGAGGTCTCTTGCCTTCAAACATGGTCAGTACATATTTTTCTTAATGCTACTTTCTTATTGACAAATACAATGTTTAATCAATTTTAATGGTAACAAGTAATTTTAAGGATCCATTATACTGTATGTAAATAGAACTAAAAATTATTTTACAGCATCAATTTAGAATATCATGATACCAAAACCAATCTTTAAAAGTAATCGTTGATAATATAAACTAAAATTTATTTATGAAACAATTTTTAAAAAAGTTAGCCCAAATTTTAAAACAAAATAATTAATACAAAAGTCATCAAAATTGCTTTGTAAATAAAGGGATCTTGTAAATAAATCCATACAAACACTTAAACAGATAAATAAGATGCAATCAAAAAATTGCAAAAATATTTTACGACAACATTATTTAATATTTTATGCACTCTTCACTTTTTAACGAAAATTAGAGTTGGAGCAGCAGCTTGACTGATACTTATGCAACCGGCAGCTCACTTTCATTGCGGGGAAAACAGTGCCCACACACATACACATAATAAAGAAAGATCTGGTCGAAACTTCTAAGATTTGGTGTCTTTGTGCTTCAACCGTTCTCGTTTCATCTGTGGACGAGTGAGACCCGCTGCGATGGAGCAAAAAAGCGCGATCTTTTTCTTTGTGCGCGACTGACAATGGAAAGTGATGAATGGCGATTTAATGAGCAATTTCTCCACGCAGCGCCGCGGATTACACCGCATTACATTACGCAACGCGAAACTCGCTCGCATAACAATCACAATATTGGACCGGTGGACCGTGACGAGTGTGAATATATTTAGAAAAAATGATGCAAAAAAGTGTTTAATAATTTTCAAGCACTCGTGGCGCAATGTCACTTTAAAAATTTTGCTGGGTGCACATGCGATCTTTCTTTTTGTTGTCAAGAGAATCTCTATAGATCTATTTAGACCGTGACTTGTCAAAAGGTGTTTATATAATGAAATAATTGGAGCTCGCGGCGCGAAACTGATTCATGCAAGAGGATGCGAGAGTGTTGGGCAAAAGCGACACTTAACACGCGAAAATGCGGCCAGAGTTGCAATAATGTAATGTTTGTTGGATTCCAGGTGGACCATTGACTTTTGACTCTTATAATAGCTGCAAGTACATTTTATTTATAAATTTCCAGTTCCTTTGTGTGTCTTTAGAAGGTATAAATACTGTAATGAATATTAATAATAAATAAAAAAAAAGTAATACAAATTGGCCTTTTAGTTCTGAGATTTTTGCCTCCTCTGCGGTCTTAATGCATTTTATTTTTTTATAAAATTTACGAGAGACTAGTATAAGAAAATATTAATGTAAAAAATCTACTGAACCACTCAAACAAAAGAAAGATTTACTTAAAACTATTATAATGCTGTTATAATGTATTAAACGGTTTTCAACAAATTAGCTGATGCAATTAAACATATTTTGGTAAAAAATTATTTTTCATATTTCACTCAATTTTTTGCATTTAAATATATAATTTTTTTTTTTAAAGACGTTGGAAATTTCAATAAATATAGTTTATCGAAAGTGAAAAATTAAAAAGAAGGCACCATGGATAATGCACATTTTATTTTTATTATAATTTTTTTTAATTTTGCACTCTTTCTGCATTGTTCACAACTAACCGCTGTGACTAGTGAGCATCACTGGATGCGATTCTCCACTGCATCGGAAGAGCTCCAAGTTCATGGTGCAAAAAATTTAATAAGAAAATGCGAGTTAACTCATCTGCAAACTGCGAATGCGGTTTATACAAGCCTTGAAGATTTCTTATTTGAATGTGGTAAATTGCAAACAAATTTGATTACCTTTAAAATTTCTATTTTTTTTTTCTTTTAATACTGGTTACAAAGCAATTGTTGTGCCAAGTTATCTCCGTAATTTGAAATTTTGGTCATATATTAATTGAATGTTTTTTTTTTAACTGAAGGAGAATCGAATCATTATTACTGGAGCGCGAAGACAATAAATAATGAATGAATTTAATTTACCTTCTCTGTTCACTGTTCAATTTTGTCAAACTTTCACCACTAAATTTCAGTACACCTTAGTATACTTTAACTGAACTTTGCAACCACCGAAATTTTATGGACGCCTCTGTTAGTTTTCCTTATTTTTACTATCAGGGAGTGTAGTTTAAAAGTGTTAATTAACTGCAGATAGCGAGTGTAATGCGGAGATAAACTTTTTAAATGCATGCGTTCACTTTTATGCAACACGCGGCTGCAGGAACTGAATTTAATATGCACATGCAGTGCTCATGTTTCACAGACTGCAGCGAGATAGTCTCTCATTGAAATCACAACATACATACGTAATAATAGGATTAACTTTGTGCCTGAGAGGATTTAATGGTCGGAAAAGGCGTTCATTTTGCAGATCCCTATCATCACCACCACTTTGCGGGCTAATTAGCGCGTAGTCAATTATTCATAATTTTGCTTCAAAGTCTGCAAATTCCATTTTTTAACAGGCAGCGTCAAATTTATTAATTTAAAAACCAACGAACCACACAGATTACAGTAGCTTCACTATCTCATTGCAGCAACATAATAACAGTCAAAATTTGTTATCACGAGGTAGTATAAAATCGCTTTGTTTTTTTTCTACTTCCTTTAATGCGTTCTTTTGTTCAAGATCCATACGCATTCGTAGACACTTCAGAGTCAATTTTTGATGAATTTGTATTTTTCTTTGTTTGTTGTTGCATATATTAAAGATTTCATTTATATATTTGCATAGTTATTTATTTAAAAAAAATGTAATAAATGTCTGGGCATTAGAAATTTCAAATTATTCTTGGATACATTATGCTAAAAAATGAAAAATTAAACGAGAACATTTTAAATAAATTGAAATTTTTGATCATGAACCCACATATTGGTGTCAAAAATCAAATTTATTAATTTTTTTCAACTTATAAACGATTAAGTTTGTCTCCTTGCTGATTTGGATATTTTTTTTAATAAAGAAAACACATTAAATTTATCATTGAGCAAAGTTAAAAAAAAATAATTTGGCCTTAATCCCTATTTGCAAAGTGAAATTAAAAGTCACTTGTGCAGTGATTGAACTGTCGCATGCCTAGTTCTCACGATTAAGTGGCCTGTCAAAATCAAGCTCAAACGTCCTTAGAAAAATTCCCTGCTCTTGAGTTCACGAACTCGGCGTCACTTAAATCTCGTGAGAAGATACATAATTAGAACAAACAAAAAAAGCGATTAAGCGGTGCTGAGAGGGCGAATGCCAAGTTGACAAATTGCGAGCGCAGTCCTTGTCCCCAAAGAGATCGTTTCGCAAAGGGAGGTGCCACGCTAATTAAGCTCGAAAATCTAACGAGCTCGTCTCCAGTTGCACACCTTGCAAACACACACACTCAGGTAAAGCGGTGAGAGAGCGGTGTGGAGAGATGTGAGGATGGAGGGGCTGCACCGACACTGCACTCACAACACACACGCTTAAGACGACCAGCCTTGAGGGAAAGGAAGAAAGGAAGACAATTCGGCTCTAGCGCAATAGAAGGGATGATGCAGCGAAAGTGGCCTCGCTGGAGAGGGGGCGGCCCCCGAAGGGCCACCCCACGTATAAAGAGGCCTGCGCCTTTCAATGCAGACACTGTCGAGTTTGACTTCTCCCCGACAACAGTCGACAATGAAGTTCTTGGTAAGCTTTAAAATACATAAAAAATATTTTTTATTATCAGCAACACAAGTTTTTTTCATTAACACAGGAGCAAGATACAATTGCAATAAAAAAATTAGTAGTTTTTAATTTTTTTTAATTATATTATATATTATAATTTTTTTTAAAATTGTTATTAAAAATTTAGATTCTTTATTACATTTTTTCTTCATTTAGTTTTTTATTGTTATTTTTTAAATTTTTTATCCATATAAATTTCTCAAATTTATAACTTGCTATTAAATTTTATTTCTCAATTAAAACTTAAACTCTTTAAGATTTAAATGCAGCAGTTTATAGCACTTTGTAAAAGGTATATAATAATAAATTAACTTGTGCCATTTTACAAGTGACTTTAGTTTATATGAAAAAAATTGCATATGCAAACAATTGATTCTATAAATTAACCAGAGTTCTCATTAATTTTGTTCTCATAGATCAACTAACTGAAACAATTGACTCATTTGATGTTAAATAATGGACGTTTTAATTTTGATATAGTTGTTGCAGAAAACAATTATTGTGGTTGAAAGCTGTCGATTACGTGCTTTTAGCACGACAAAAGCCGTATATGCAATTATCTAGCAACGCGATCTTTCTGCATCTCGGCGCCGTAACTCGCATTGTAATCCGGGTGCACGCTAACCGCCTCTATTTCTTCCTGAGTTGTAAAATATAAAATTAGCCGACTCATTTTGTGTCCGGCTTGCTCAATCCGCGCGCGAAATTTCACTTCCTCCTCTCGTTACAAAATTCGGTCATCTTGGATATAAAATACATTTGTTTGTACGTTTAAAAAGCTGTAAGCTGATTCCCACGCGGTAATGTTCTCTTGTTGGTTGGTCTTCTTTCCTGCGGTTATTGCCAACATGCAAAACTCTCGCGGTTCCCAAGCATCAATTTGCAGAAATTGTCTCCGTGCCTTTTACTTCCGTCGCTAAACGTCCCAAATTAAAGTTAGAAAATAAATTAAACACTTCCGTTTTTCTTTTTTTTTTCTTTTAATTACTATAACAATTTAGCTAAACACACAACTTTTGCTTTCGTCTCGCTTTATAGGATGAATTAATTTGATCGCGTGCAATTGATGCGAGTTTCTCTCTGGTCATTAATTTGTGTGATGCGTTAAGTGGATTAATTTCACTCTCGCCGCGCGCGTCTAATTAAATTTAATGCTCTCGCCGTCTCATTTGATTATTAGTCTGACAAATGTTTACACTTCGTCCAAGTGTAAATAGTGGCCGTTTAAATAGCACGCGCCGTGCATTTCTAATTTGAGACTTATCTAATGCTGAGATGCATATAAGTGAAAACCGAGAAGGAAAGCTCACTTGGTCAGGTGTTTCATGCATAAAGTGGCGCTTGCTTATTTTGCCGAAATTTTTTGCTTTCTGTTTGGACTGCGTCACTGGAGCAGATAAAGGAAGCGTTTGTTTGGTTAATTTGCATAATTCGCCAACTCTTTGCTTTTCATGCGTACATGAAACAATGAGTAGATCTTATGATGGCGTGTACGAAAACACTTAGCTGCTGCGTTCCGTTTCGTGGTTTTACACTTGAAAGTCGAATTTGAGATAATTACTCATCTGCTGATCGTTGAACAAGACTAATTTTTATTATTACCTTATTTTTTCACGGCCTCAAATATAAGCAAATTATTTAAATAATTTTTTAACTTAACTCGTTTAAGTTTGTTATTATTTGTTATTATAAATTAATCAAATTATCACATATTTTACTTTAATAAAAATCAATTATTAAAGGCTGCACAAAAAATGTGTATTTTTTTTTTTACAAAAATTGTTTCCTGTTGTTCACAGGTGTGCGTCCTGCTGGTGGCTGCCATAGCCCGTGCCGACGAAGCGGCAAAGGATGATGACAAGAAGACCGAAAAGCGCGGCATCTACGGCTCCGGCTTTGGCTACGGAGGTGGCTTCGGAAGTTACGGCGGAGGCTACGGTGGAGGCTACGGAGGTGGTCTGGGAGGATACGGAGGCGGCTTGGGAGGCTACGGAGGCGGTTTGGGAGGATACGGAGGCGGCTATGGTGGACACGTCCAGCACGGACACATCAAGGCCGTGACCATCACCAAGGAGGTCCCCTATGCCGTTCCTCACCCTTACCCCGTTCCCGTTGTGAAGAAGATCCCGGTTCCAGTTCCCCACCCTGTTGCTGTTCCCGTTGACAAGCCCTACCCCGTTCACGTCCCAGTCAAGGTTCCCGTGCAAGTGATCAAGCACGTGCCCTACCCCGTTGAGAAGCCTGTGCCCTACCCCGTCCATGTTCCTTACAAGGTCGCCGTGCCCCACCCTGTCGCCGTTCCTGTTTCCAAGCCTGTGCCCTACCCCGTGCACGTGCCCTATAAGGTCGCCGTGCCCCAGCCGTACCCCGTGGTCAAGCCTGTGCCCGTCTACGTCAAGTCCCACGACTACCACCATGGTCATGAATACAGCCAGCACTATTAGAGAGGAGCATCCGAGGCGGCCGTCAGGTGGACCGATTGTCCGACCTACGGCCGAGCTCCGCTTCTGACGCACACCAAACACCACCCTCATCTCTAGTTCACTATTTTTGTAAAAAACTGATTTTGTACTCGTGACTGTTTTTATGTGAGAAAGAATAAATTTTTATGAAAATACTAAACCAAAACCTGTTAAATTTTAATTTAAATCTCCATTACATTTTTGTTTTAACGAAAAATCTAAAAATCATCATTATATCAAAAAACTTGGCATCAATAACATAATTTAAGATATTATTTTTATTAACAAATAATTTTAATAATTTTCCATTTTTAATGCATTAATTAAAAATATTTTAGATAAGCTAATATTTTTCAAACCACCAAAATTTTAAATTTTCTGTTTAACAAAATTTGACATCCTACAAATTTATTGGTAGTGGTGAATTCATTGGTGGTAATGATAACTAAGAGATTTGTTTTCAGCAATACAATTTAATAAAAAAAATTTTATTAAATAAAGTTCAATCATTAAAAAAATTTCATTGAAAATTTAAAATCCTCTTTGCTGATGCAATAATGAGAATAAGATTGGGCATTTGAATAAATGTTTTTTTATTTTTTATTATGAACTGAGGGTTTTTATTATATTTTGAATTACTCTTTAAATATACACTTTTAACTGAAAAACTTTTATTTCATTTCAAATCAGGTAAACTACTGATAATCCAACTAACATAATGTGCCACATCTGTGAACAATGTATACGCATTTGGCTCGCAGACACGTTTTCCGTCTGGAAACTTGAGGGTTTTGTGCCCTCTTCCCGCACTCACAATGCCCCTCAGGAACCACCGGTCTCCCCATTTTAGCACCAGACCGCCACCGCTGTCTCCATTACAGGTGCTTGTTCCTGTGAATAAATTTCATTATTTTTTAATTAAAGGAATAGTATTTTGTGACAAGTACCATTCATGTATCCTGCGCAAAAATTTAGTCCTGGATAGAGAAGACGGCCGTAGAAAGAAGATTTGGAGAAATAGCATTCTTTGTGTGGAATCAATGGCAATCGCACACTCTGCAAAACGTCAGGCTGCTCCAGAGTTTCATCAAGACCCCAACCAGCTACCTAGAAAATAAAATTTTCTATTCAATTTATTTTAATAACACACACTATGCTTACCGTTCCTAATTTATTTTCAATCAGAGTGAAATTTGAATCTTCGCTCCACAAACAAATAGGTCGCACGAAATCGGTGATGTTGAAATCGGCATCAAAGAGAAGCAAACCAATGTCGTTGGCATAAGTAGATGGAGAGAAGTTGGGATGAATGATAAACTTGCTGGGCTTCACGTGGAAACAAAAAATTAGTTTCAATTTTTAACATTTAAAATATTTACGTTTTGTTTTTGTCTCCCCAGCTCTTGAGTGTCACCAGAGTCGCATAGTGACAACCATTTCATTAAATCCACCCTTGTCATTTGCAGCTGGCAAACAGTGAGCCGCTTTGGCAGCAAATTAATCGGTTTTCTTTTTATCAAATTTAATTTTTTATCACAATTTTTTTGCACCTGTGAGTACAGCTCTAGGAGTAATTAATGTGCCGCCACACCGAGTGCTCGGGGGTGTTGAAATGTCGGCGTGCCAAGGGTGTCTTCCCTGCTGCGTCGCTTGACCGTGAATTATGTGCTGGACTGGGATGTCCTCCAGATACTCCAGTTCTCTTCGAAATTTTTCACTTTTTGTGCCACAACCTGGATTACTTAAACTTTCATCGTCCCACAGTTCTATTAAATACAAGATTTTCAGAATCATAATTAAAAATAAATTTGCCGAATTGTGCTATTAAAACTATCAAAATTTGAATCAATGTAAAAACTTCTCTCTGAATAGAAGAAAAAAGCTTATAGGATGGATTTAAATGGACTTAAATTAAAAAAATTAATCAATTTTAAAATTTTGTTTTTGGGACTTCTCTAGAACATTTTCATTTTATAATAAAAATTAGTAAACCAGGCCAAATTATAATTCAAAAGAATTTTCTTACTGGGAAGTGGCTCATCAGGTACTTCTTTTTGCAACATGAAAAGGTCAGGTGCGTTGGAGGTCATCGTGTCCATGTGATTCAATATGTCAACAAAAGTACAGTAGCTGTCCCGGTGTGTTATATTCGAAAAAACTCCACGCAAGTAAAACCGCCCGCCGTGAATGTTCACCAAACCTCTCGTCCAGTAAGATCCATCTGTTCTACAAAACATGAAATAAACACATTTGCATTGAGATTAAAAAAAATACCTTTAAAAACGCAGAGCATGGTATTTTCTGTGTCGCAAAACTCATTTTCAACATTTTCTTTAAAACACTCGCTGTACTGTACAATTCTAGCAGTGTAATTGTGAACGCTGTATCCCTTTTTGTGAAAAATACAACAGAATCATCGTGTTAAAAATTTAGTAAAAAATTATCTTACGCTGTAAGCGCGATAGACTTGTGACTCGCTGAAATCCAATGAGTTGTCTCTGTTGAAAAGACAAATCGGTCGCACCCAATCGCTGAACTCGGGAATTTTGGGAATTATGAAAAAGTACATAAAGTAGTCAAATGATTGAATATCCAGTTTGACTTTTCTCTCCACCTAAATAAGAAATGTATTTATTTAAAAAAAATTTAAGTAAAATATTACTGTAGTTCTAAACCCCTCATTGTTTTCTGTGCACGGTTGTTCTTTGTCTACCTCAGCGCAGCGCCCTAAATAAATTCGTATTTGTTCAGTTGGTTCTACAAAGCCGTCACTCTCCTCTGGTTTAAAAATTAATTAATTCAAACATGTATTTAACTCTGATTAGAAATTCCAACCATCGAATGTGATAACAACCTTCTTGGAAATGAGAATTCCAGGGCAGTAGTACCGCTCAGAATAGATTTCCGCCTTCCATGGGTAGTGATCATAAGGCAAATCAACTCTCCTTCCGCAATCTTCAAAACTCAAATTCTCATCGCTACTGAATACTGAACAAAAGTTATTCAAATTTTATAAGTTATTTAATTTAATTTGTATTACCTGGTGCGTCTTTTAAAGGGCAGGACTGGGCATAACTCTGAGCAGAACAGAAACTCAAAAGTAAAATGAGCAGCAAAATCATCTTGTGTGATTCCTTTTACGAGGCCACTAATATAATAAACCTCTCTCTTAGCGACGACTTGAAGACAGACTGGTCCGAAACCTGGACATACCGCTTTTCATCAGACAGGCGCAAAGAAAACTACGCTGGCAAAGACCTTGAGGTTTTTATGTAGCAGATCGATGCGCGAGTTAAAAAGAAAACTAAAATAGTCATTAAAATGTGAATCTTGTGTATCCAGCAAAGTGATTCTGATTATTTTTTCAAGGAATGTTTTTGCCTGGGGCACATTTATTTCTTTGCTCACTTGGCTCACTGCCAACCGAGTGAGATTCACCTTGAGTTTATGCAACCAGCAGTTTATTTGTATCTCGGGAGTTGCATACATGTTGTTTCAGATTTTAAATTAATATAGTAAAAACTATCTGCTCAAATTTTAAAATTGTTAAAATAAATTCCTACGGAAATCTTGTTGAATATCAATACTGATATTTATATATTAAAATAAATAAATTCTATAAGTTAAGTTGAAGTTGTACTCAATTGAGTTTCAAATAAAAGAATATATATATAGAAAATAAATTTGATCCCATAATATTAGGGGATTTTAGTCTCACAATAATTGTGCGAACTTTCGATAAACTACGTGCCCAATTGTGGGAACCTTTTGAATTGTGCGACTTCCCACAATTAAGAGCGGATTTGACCTGAATTGTGGGAACTTTTTTGAATTTTGGGGATGCTGTGTTATGTTGCCTATGTGTAATTTTAAAGGTAGAGGGGGTACTTTCCCCTGCCTTCCTAGCGATAGCAGCCTTAAAGATGGCTATTGCAGAACCAACCTGAATTGTGCGAACATACAATTTATTGCAAAAAAGGGTAATAACGAGGAGAAACGACATGAATTGTGAGAAGGCTGATTAAAAATGCATCTTCATTAAATATACGGCATGAATTGTGAGAACCTTTGCTTATTTGACTCCATTAAGGGTAAGATAGACCAAAAACAACCTGAATAGTGCGAACCATCACCGCAGTTATATTAAAAGGGTAGAAATGACCAGAAATAACCTGAATTGTGAGAAGGGTGATTAAAAGTGAGTCTTAATTGAAGATATGGCCTGAATTGTGAGAACCTTTGCTTAATTGTCTCAATTAAGGGTAAGAAAGACCAAAAACCACCTGAATAGTGCGAACCATCACCGCAATCATATTAAAAGGGTTGAAATGACCAGAAATAACCTGAATTGTGAGAATGTTGATTAAAAGTGAGTCTGAATTGAAGATATGGCCTGAATTGTGAGAACCTTTGCTTAATTGTCTCGATTAAGGGTAAGATAGACCAAAAACCACCTGAATAGTGCGAACCATCACCGCAATCATATTAAAAGGGTTGAAATGTCCAGAAATAACCTGAATTGTGAGAAGGTTGATTAATAGTGAGTCTGAATTATAGATAAGGCCTGAATTGTGAGAACCTTTGCTTAATTGTCTTAATTAAGGGTAAGAAAGACCAAAAACCACCTGAATAGTGCGAACCATCACCGCAATCATATTAAAAGGGTTGAAATGACCAGAAATAACCTGATTTGTGAGAATGTTGATTAAAAGTGAGTCTGAATTAAAGATAAGGCCTGAATTGTGAGAACCTTTGCTTAATTGTCTTAATTAAGGGTAAGAAAGACCAAAAACCACCTGAATAGTGCGAACCATCACCGCAATCATATTAAAAGGGTTGAAATGACCAGAAATAACCTGAATTGTGAGAATGTTGATTAAAAGTGAGTCTGAATTGAAGATATGGCCTGAATTGTGAGAACCTTTGCTTGATTTCTCCATTAATGGTTAGATAGACCAAAAACAACCTGAATTGTGCGAACCTTCACTTAATCATAAAAAAGGGGTTGAAATGACCAGAAATAACCTGAATTGTGAGAAGGTTGATTAATAGTGAGTCTGAATTAAAGATAAGGCCTGAATTGTGAGAACATTTGCTTGATTTCTCTATTAATGGTTAGATAGACCAAAAACAACCTGAATTGTGCGAACCTTCACTTAATCATAAAAAAGGGGTTGAAATGACCAGAAATAACCTGATTTGTGAGAATGTTGATTAAAAGTGAGTCTGAATTAAAGATAAGGCCTGAATTGTGAGAACCTTTGCTTAATTGTCTTAATTAAGGGTAAGAAAGACCAAAAACCACCTGAATAGTGCGAACCATCACCGCAATCATATTAAAAGGGTTGAAATGACCAGAAATAACCTGAATTGTGAGAATGTTGATTAAAAGTGAGTCTGAATTGAAGATATGGCCTGAATTGTGAGAACCTTTGCTTGATTTCTCCATTAATGGTTAGATAGACCAAAAACAACCTGAATTGTGCGAACCTTCACTTAATCATAAAAAAGGGGTTGAAATGACCAGAAATAACCTGAATTGTGCGAACTTCTACAAAATTTAAAAAAAGAATCAATAAAGCAGCTTTAATGGTAAAGATATTGACAACATTTAATGTGAAACGTGCTTATTTAATCAACGAGGGCTTTATTTAACTGATTTATGATTTTAATTTCAAGAAATATTATTTGAATTATTTACTCGTCTAAATTAACAGTATTGCTTACCGATTTAAAAATTTTCTTATTTATGCAAAATTCTTAGAATCACTCTGATCTCTTCCAACATCTCAAAAGGGCTAATTTAGGGTCTGTCTAGTCTGTATTTGAACTTACTTTTTAATCACTTAACGCAGAGGCTGGGAATTTATTAATTTAAAAATTTCAGATACGACCTGAATTGTGCGAACTTCTACAAAAATTAAAAAAAGAAGCAATAAAGCAGCTTTAATGGTAAAGATATTGACAACATTTAATGTGAAACGTGCTTTATTAATCAACGAGGGCTTTATTTAACTGAATCATTATTTTAATTTCAAGAAATTTTATTTTAATCAATTTCTCGTCCAAAATAACATTAAGTTATTGCTTACTGGTTTAAAAATTTTCTAATTTATCAAAAAATTCGTAAAATAGCTCTGATCTCTATTAACATCTCAAAAGGGCTAATTTAGGATCTGTCTAGTCTGTATTTGAACTTACTTTTTAATCACTTAACGCACAGGCCGGGAATTTAATAATTTAAAAATTTCAGATACGACCTGAATTGTGCGAACTTCTACAAAATTTAAAAAAAGAATCAATAAAGCAGCTTTAATGGTAAAGATATTGAACACATTTAATGTGAAACGTGCTTAATTAATCAACGAGGGCTTTATTTAACTGATTTATGATTTTAATTTCAAGAAATATTATTTGAATTATTTACTCGTCTAAATTAACATAATTGCTTACCGATTTAAAAATTTTCTTATTTATGAAAATTCTTAGAATCACTCTGATCTCTTCCAACATCTCAAAAGGGCTAATTTAGGATCTGTCTAGTCTGTATTTGAACTTACTTTTTAATCACTTAACGCAGAGGCTGGGAATTTATTAATTTAAAAATTTCAGATACGACCTGAATTGTGCGAACTTCTACAAAATTTAAAAAAAGAATCAATAAAGCAGCTTTAATAGTAAATATATTGACAACATTTAATGTGAAACGTGCTTAGTTAATCAACGAGGGCTTTATTTAACTTAATTATGATTTTAATATCAAGAAATTTTATTTTAATCAATTTCTCGTTCAAAATAACATAAAGTTATTGCTTACTGGTTTAGAAATTTTCTAATTTATCAAAAAATTCGTAAAATCACTCTGATCTCTTCCAACATCTCAAAAGGGTTAATTTAGGGTCTGTCTAGTGTATATTGGATCTTACATTTTAATCACGTAACGCACAAGCCGGGGATTTAATAATATAAAATTTAGAGAAACGACCTGAATTATGCGAACTTCTACAAAATTTAAAAAAAGAATCAATAAAGCAGCTTTAATGGTAAATATATTGACAACATTTAATGTGAATCGTGCTTAACTAATCAACGCGGGCTTTATTTAACTGAATTATGAATTTAATTTCAAGAAATTTTATCTGAATCAATTTCCCGTCTATAATAACATTATTGCTTACCGGTTTAAAAATTTTCTAATTTATAAAAAAATTCGTAAAATCACTCTGATCGCTTCCAACAACTCAAAAGGGTTAATTTAGGGTCTGTCTAGTTTGTATTTGAACTTACATTTGAATCACGTAACGCACAAGCCGGGAATTTAATAATATAAAATTTACAGAAACGACCTGAATTATGCGAACTTCTACAAAATTTAAAAAAAGAATCAATAAAGCAGCTTTAATAGTAAATATATTGACAACATTTAATGTGAAACGTGCTCAATTAATCAACGAGGGCTTTATTTAACTGAATTATGAATTTAATTTCAAGAAATTTTATTTGAATCAATTTCTCGTCTCAATTAACATTATTGCTTACCGATTTAAAAATTTTCTAATTTATAAAAAAATTCGTAAAATCATTCTGATCTCTTCCAACATCTCAAAAGGGTTAATTTAGGGTCTGTCTAGTTTATATTGGAATTTACATTTTAATCACGTAACGCACAAGCCGGGAATTTAATAATATAAAATTTACAGAAACGACCTGAATTATGCGAACTTCTACAAAATTTAAAAAAAGAACCAATAAAGCAGCTTTAATGGTAAATATATTGACAACATTTAATGTGAAACGTGCTTAATTAATCAACGAGGTCTTTATTTAACTGAATTACGATTTTAATTTCAAAAAATTTTATTTGAATCAATTTCTCGTCTAAAATAACAATATAGCTTACCGATTTAAAAATTTTCTTATTTATAAAAATATTCGTAAAATCACTCTGATCTCTTCCAACATCTCAAAAGGGCTAATATAGGGTCTGGCTAGTCTGTATTTGAACTTACATTTTAATCATTAACGCAAAAACCGGGAATTTAATAATATAAAATTCTCAGAAACGACCTGAATTATGCGAACTTCTACAAAATTTAAAAAAAGAATCCTTAAAGCAGCTTTAATGGTAAATATATTGACAACATTTAATGTGAATCGTGCTCAATTAATCAACGAGGGCTTTATTTAACTGAATTATGAATTTAATTTCAAGAAATTTTATTTGAATCAATTTCTCGTCTCAATTAACATTATTGCTTACCGATTTAAAAATTTTCTAATTTATAAAAAAATTCGTAAAATCATTCTGATCTCTTCCAACATCTCAAAAGGGT